TTCTTTCTTTCTTTCTTTCCCCTCCCCTCCCCTCCCCTCCCCTCCTCATTGTAAATGACAATAGCTATTAGTGTGTTGATTCAGAAGTGATGCTCATCTGGAGAAGAGAAGATAGTGTAATTGCTAGAAACTTTTGAAGAAATAAATCAGGAACTGCCTGCTTTTGGTCACATCTTTATTTCAAGACCCATATTTGGACTTTCACAAAGAGAGGAGAAAAGTTTATTCCCTGACCCCATTATTTTAAAAAGAGTATGAATCCATCTCTCCATAGCAAATAGAAAGTTGGAGGAATTTTTTTGGGCAGCTACTCACAGCTGGGGTTAGCTTGTGTTTCTGAGAATTTATTGTGTTTCCCTTAGAGATGAAATACTGTTTTTCATTTATAATACTCAGTGCCCCTGAATCATTTCAAAAATAAGATCTCAAATGTCTTCCATGTTCATCGGAAGACAGGACAATAAACTTCAGCCATCTACATGAACGTTGATCCAAATGGGTCCACATTATATTGGTGTGAATGCAGACACTGCTTCTTTGCTGTTTGATATATTTTTAAATATGACGCATATCAAAAACCATCCTGTTTAACTCCTACACTATCACCTAGGTTGCCTATTTGCTGCTCCCAGTGACTCACCCGGGGTAGATTTCTGGATTTCCTTTGAGTGAAGAATTTTAGGGATGAATCCGTCATTAGACAAAAAGTCTCAGTTTGGGAGTTTTTATGGTTTGGCTGGATGAACATTCTTCTGTACTGCTCAGCATCTGAATTCTGACAAAATGTGGTTTTAATTCTCCCCACTCCCTCCATACTTTCAATCTGGAATGTGTGCTAGATGGCAATAATCATTTTTTTCTCCTGTCAAACAAGTCTATTCGTCAAGTTATGAACTGAATTTTCTGGCCCTAGTCCCTCAGGGTTTTTCTTCTCAAGATTCATCTCAAAAGATTATCCTGCCTTCGAGTTTTCTGGTGAGAGTTTTCTTCCACCAGCATGCTTGTGATACTCCAGAGAGGATTCATGAAATTTTGATTGTATAAAAACATTTAACGTCAGCCTTTCTCCCTCAACAGATGTTCCAGATGTTCTATGACAGTGACTGTCAGAGTTCTGGAAGTCATAGGACTCACCACATCTGGCAAATGGCAGGTTCAGAAGACTGGAACTAACTCACTGAAGTCAATAGGTATAATATTACTCAGTATTATATGCTTCATTTCAATGTAACTGTCTGAGCATGTATGAGTCTGGAACCAAAGTTATAAAAGAAAATGTGGTTTCTCTTAAAACAAGCAGCTGCCAGATTATTTTCTGTTTTGCCATGGAAGAGAACTCCAGTTGACCATCTCGAATGGGACAAGTTCCATTTTTTTTATTTATTTATTCATTTATTCTCTTTGTATCATTAGCATTTAAAAGTTTTGGCTGAAGAGAAGTTATCCTAACCCAGGACCACCATTCTTTTCTTTTTTGAATCCCAACCACTTCAGCTCATCAAAGGGTAACATGCCCTGTTTTTTGGAGTCCACAGCTGTGTCGAAAGCCTCAAAACAAAATAAAAACAAGGGAGGAAAGCAAGCACTGAACTCATTCTTGTTTCCATTTCGTAAAACCATCTCATTCCCAGGCATAGATTTTTCTGGTTGTTAAATCATTCATCTGTCACAAAATGCCTTTGTTTGCCAAAGGAAAATGAGAAGAAGAAAAAATACCCATAGTATGAAAAATCAGAGGAAGTGCACCACCCGAAAACAGCAGTATAGCAAGAATGGAGAAAGTTTGCTGCTACACCAGGGCTCTCCAAGCTTGGCAACTTTAAGACTTGTGGGCTTCACCTCTCAGATCAAATAGGGCCAAAAACTATTAACTATTCAATAATTCAGTCCAGTTTTTTAAAGCTTAACACTGATAACAGTTAGCAGTTCAACAGTGGTGAGTATATAATGTTTGTTTCTGACCTTTATGTACAGGTATGATCTGATCTGAAGACTGTCCTTTTGAGTCTATAATTCAGAAGTTGAGTATACACAACAAACGTAAACAAGCTAAAATGGGGCTAGGTAATTGGTCATTTAGTTTTAGGCAACTCAGCAATTGCCTTAGCTTGCTATACAAATTAGGCCATCATCCTAAACCATCACATGTTGGGGCCAAACATTGTATATGGATGCAGCAATTGTATTTTGTTAACCTGAGTTTAGCATATTGTGTTGAACTTCACCTGAATGTGTCCCAGAAGGTCGTTTTCACTGCCCCCTTCCAAATCTAACAACTGTTTAACACTTGTGGGAGAGACAGAGCCCATACATTTTTTAAAAATCATCACCTTATATAGCGTAAATACTCTTAGTCTGCTTTTTTTGCAGAAGTACAGAATATGTGCTTGCCATCAAAGAATATAACATGCAGCAGCATAAAGCAACAGTGGACTCTAAAAATAAATTTCTGTATTAGATAACTTGAGATGGAAAAGAGATAATAAACATCATGCCCAAAATTGGAAGACCAGCTTCTACATATGAAGGAGAGGCATAATTCCTGGTACACTGTTAAATTTGGCTCAGAAATCATCAAAATCATCACATCTTTGCTTTAGAAGTTCTCCAGTTTAACTTGGGTGGGCTACAGGGCCTAAAAACATTTGTCTTGATACTTTCAAAATGTTTTGAGTGCCAGAAAAGTATCCTTGAATTTACTTAGACTGCACCACCCCACCTGGATGGAGTGCTATGCTGTATATCAAGAATTTGGATATCTTTAAAAAGAAATGTATTAATCTAAATGGAAGTTTTCAGACAGGTTCTCACGGATACAAAGAATACTTTATGAGCTGGCTCAGAAAAATGAACTGATTTATTAATTTTCTAGAGAAGTTTTCCCTTGGCTAATGTCCATCAGAGGTACTGGAAGGTGCTACATATTCATGCAATTGTAATTCCTGGGAGTTTTCGTCCAATCTCATCAAGGTGTCCCAGAATGTGAAAGATTATGGGAATATTGCATCTAGTTTGGGTCACCACAACACAAGCAGATGTTGAGATTTTAGAAAGAGTACATAGAAGAGCAACAAGGATTGTTAGGGCCTGGAGACTGATGTACATGATGAATGATTGTGAGAACAGGGTATGCCTAGTCGAAGAAAGAGAAGGACTGGGGTGACATGATAGCAGTCTTCCATTATCCGAGAGGCTGTCACAGAGAAGTGAGCTCAACCTATTTTCCAAAGCACCTGAGAGCAGGACAAGAAGTAACCGGTGGAAGCTTATCAAAGAGAGATCCAACAGTAGAAGAAGAATGCTGAGCTCATTGGCTGCTTGTGAAATCTTCAGTGATATCTGGTTAACCACTGCTGGAGAAAAAAATCAGATGTTCTGCTTTGCAGCCTTTTGATCTAATCCAGCAACTTCTTCCCATGGTCCTTTGTGGAGTTGAACTACAGATCTAGTATTGGGCCAGAGATCACAGGTATTGTAGCATCTCTGTTTACAGCATAAAGCCTCTTCCTGGAGGAAATGGGATCTCTTCACTTTAATTCTGCAGTTGGTAATGCAACCTTGCTGGATCTTGAAAACATTGTCATCTAGAAGATGACACAGAGGCATAGGAGAATTCACACGTTTCCTGTTAAAACCTGGTTTAGTGAATAAATCACAAGGGATGGGGTTATCATAACACACTAAGCTATAAACCAGGGTTTGAAATGCATGATGGTTGGGTTTACCCAACATGAAGAACTGAAATCAAACTAATCATTATGGCTTAAGACAATATAAAGACCAATGAATGTTTACATTTATTTTCCTATAATAAATATTAGGCTGAGTTGCAAAACCATACTTTATTCCTTAGGCCTAAGTTGATTTATGCTCCATCTGTTGATATCATTTGCCCATCTAGGAAAGATTAGATGCCTAGAAACCTGCTATCCTTAGCTGAGATGTTAATCAATTCATCCCTCATGTAATATCACTAGGGCTTTCATCTTAGCTTAGGTTCATGAAGATCATATGAGAGACATCTGTCTCAAGAACAAAATATTTTGAAATCTAAGCATACCTGCATCAACCAGGCACACTCCCACATCGCTGATATTTTGACTTGGGCCACACTCAGAAGACTATTCCATTTTGGCAATTATTTTGTTAACTCTCAGATTCTTCCTTTGAAACATACTCAGGTAAGCATCCTCTATCAAGTTTGTCCTTGCTAGTCTTATTATAGGGAGGAGCAGTGGTTCGGTGCTTAAGACGCTGGACTTGTTGGCTGGAAAGCCAGAAGCCCAGGTTCAAGCCCTGAGCGCCACGTGATAGGGTGAGCTCCCATCCTCACCCAGCTAGCAGTTCGAAAGCATGCAAATGCAAGTAGATTAATAGGTACCGCTTCAGTGGGAAGGTAACAATGATCTGTGACATCCTGCTAGCCACATGACTGGAATGTCTTCAGACAGCACTGGCTCAATGACCTTGAAACTAAGATGAGTACCACCCCCTAAATTCAGCTACAGCTAGCAGAGTAAAATCCATGGGGACTCTTCTACCTTTATTCTTATTCTACTTCCTCAGCTCACCTTTAATAACTGTCTGAGCAAAGCAGATACTTGTGTAGCCTCCTGTTAATCTTTCATAGAAATAACTATTGTCCATTTTATCTCTGGTTTTGTGGAACTTAGGATTATATGGTGTTCATTCACTTGATGTGGCATTTGATAGATCTATTGATACACAAATATAATTATTTGAGATAGAGGAGATTTTGTGGAGTTGGGTTAGAGAAACAGAGGAACACCTAAACAAGTCCCAAAGCTAAATGCAAGCAACAAGTGGGTGGATGAAGACTTCCCACACTGGGTCACAAGAAATTCAGATAGTGCCCTGAGCATCATTGGAAATTGATATAAATTATACAATCAAATAACCAGTTTCAACAAATCAAACCTGTTAGGCATTGGCAGGTCTATTATGTACTTAGAAAAAAATAGTGTAGGTATTTCAATGTTTGCTCCGTCCTTTGATGGTAGAAGAAACAAAGCAATCCATCCAATAATTTCTTTATTCTTTCTGAGATTTTAATCAAGAACTATGTTTTCTGTTTTTCCTGTGCCATTAGGAAGCAGAAGTGAATGAACACCACATCATCCTAATTTCCGCAGAACTGTTCCTAATGAAATCAGGACTAAATCTTACAGACAGCTTAAAATTCAAAGTATTTTCCTGAAATGAGTTGGTCCTTAATCTTTATTGGGTTGTTTACTGAGCTTGAGTTAAGTTTTCCACTCCCGTATATTAAAATTTTGTCCCAGTTACCTCTCAAAACCATAATAATAATTCAAGAGTGCCCTCTTCTGGTTAGCAGGCCACAAATTCAGGTTAAATGAAATGATTTCTGTAACAACCAAAGTCCTATCAAAAGCTTAAAGATTTTTATAAAGGTCTCTTTTTGCACAAGAACCAAAACAATATTGTGTTTATCGCTGGAGGTTTCAAAAAATAAACTGGACAACTATTTGACTAGGGTACTCTAAGGCTGTTTGCCTTGACACAGGTTTCAGTCAGAAGACTTCCAGACTTGTGATTCTGTGTGATTTACTATAGTTTGGCTTAGGCAACTTCTTGTACTTGGAAATTTGGGCCAAAGTAGGTTGAAGCAGAGAGGAGATATTAAGGGGATGGAGATTTCCTAGGAATTCTTGGGAAGTCAAGAAAAAATATCCTGGGGAAAATCATGGCAAACTATTTTCAAAATATAGCTTCAGGGACAACTACTGTGTGGAGTGAAGTTCAGTTAAAAGTTGCCCTCTTTGCAACAAGTGGCAATATTTAATATTATATTGAATTGTGTTATTAAGTGCTGACTATTTTTAAGCAGATTGAACACTCATGTGAACCTTAGTGGGTATTTTCTCCCCTTATTTTTCTCCTCTCCAGCTTTTCTTCATTCAGCCCACTTACTAACACCCTACACTTTAATTTCTCCCAAACAGTTGAGACTCCTGTTGCTGAGATTCCTAAAAGCTTCCCGATTCCTCGTGTCTTTCATTCTGCCCAGAGGGTTGTTCTTAATGTGCAGGGCAGGATTTTGTTTTAGTTTTTAATATTAAACCCTTTCAAGGATGCTGACTATCATCAGATGGAACTGTTGCTTTACTTAATTGGAAAGTTAAAAAGAATGCTCTATTTAAAAAGACTGGGATACTGGTTGGGTGACCTGAAAGGACAGAATCAATAAGAAAATCATGCCTGGGTTTACATATTGTAGGCAGCCATCGTATATGTAATTATAATTTATAATATAACCTGCATCTGAGGGTTGGTTTCTTCTTATTTCCATGAAGAAAATTCAAGAGCCATCCAACCACTTTCTCTGCCTGAAGGTTTGATGGAAGATTTTAAAGGCTATTATTGTCTAGCAGTAAATCTCAATTTAGCTAGCATGGTTGGGGTGGTTTTAGGAGGAACTTAATGGTCCAGGGCTTCTTCTGATTTTGGAAATCATGATTGATTAGTTTAGATCTACCTTTCTAAAGGGATGATTGTACATTCCAAGCACTTTTCTCTTTGAAGAATTATAAATCATTCACATCCAAGTTTCAGGACATGAAGCCTCTTGTGTTCCTAGGACAAATTGTAAAATGTTAGTTTAACAGGTAAGCCATTAACTCTCAATATATAAGTCCACATTTGTTGACCCCCACATAAACAAGAAGCAATGGATGGGAAATAATCAAGGAGTGAACAAATCTAGAACTAAGGAGAAATTTCCCAAGAGTGAGAACAATTAATCAGTGGAATCGTTTGCCTTCGGAAGTTGTGGTTGCTCCATCAGTGTAGTTTTTAAGAAGCGATTGGACAACCAGTAGTCTGGAATGGTATAGGGTCTCCTGCTTGAGCAGAGTGTGGGACTAGATGACCTCCAAGGTCCTTTCCAACTTATTCCGTTAAATTGTTGGCATTGGCTGGCATTTGGTATATTGCATGTTCTTTTTGCATTCTGAAAGAAAGGAAAAGAAAACATGGGATTGGGCACATTTGTACGTAATTCAGTTGCATACAGTGGCAGGGATGGGGAACTTCTGGCCTTCTATATTAGCCCATCTGTTACATAGGATCTTGAGAAAGGTTTTTCCTCCTCCTCCAGTGGTGGGATTCAAAAATTTTTACTACTAGGTCTTTGGGTGTGGCTTGCTGGCTGTGGCATGGTGGGTGTGGCAGGGGAAGGATACTATAAAATCTCCATTCCCTCCCCACTCCTGGGGGAAGGTTACCACAAAATCCCATTCCCTCCCCACCCCACTAACCTGCTTTTCAGCTCCGTTCTCCTGTGCAGGGCAACCAAAGAAGACCCAGCCGATCAGCTGGGACTCAAGAGTCAGAGAATAGATGGGGGTGGGGCCAGTCAAGGGTGGTATTTGCCGGTTCTCCGAACTACTCAAAATTCCTGCTACCGGTTTTCCAGAACTGGTTAGAATCTGCTGAATATACCACCTCTGTCGTCCTCCTCCCATAAGGCTGGGATTCTCCACTCCCTTTATTTCTCACACTTTCCCTACCCTTCAAGGAGGAAGAAACACATGACATGGACATAAGCACCAAAGAATGAGTCCATTGATTGGCACAATCAGCAATTTCACCTGCCCCTTATAAGCATCTGCCCCAGAAGAAGAAAAACAAGGTGTGAGTGTGGTTTGCAATCTCTCCAGGAACTAGCATTGTCTTTCCCACTTAAGGGAGATATGCAAGGACTCTGCTGGTTCATCCAGCAAATGCCTTCTCTAACAGAAGAAAATGCATGTGAGGAGATAGTAGAGCGTTGGTTTAATGTAGGGTTTTTCAACCTTGGCAACTCTAAGATGTGAGGATTTCAACCCCAGAGTTCCCCCAACCAGCATGTGTCTCAGCGATGCTGGCAGGTTGAAGATTTGGGGGAGTGGATGCAACAATTCTTCCAATTTTCTTCAAGTACATGGTGAGCATGATAAAATCGCATGAGCACGCTCACTGATAATATGTTAACAATAAACTCGAGTCCTACACTAAAATGTACAGGTTGTTCTTCCCTTTCTCCAAAATAAGACAACTGTAATTTTTCTCTGGTTACTTTTTCCCTGAGTTTGAAGATTTGTGTTGGCTTTTTGTGTTTTTGCTCATGATCAAAGCTCTGACAGTAGGTTTATTAGCTTTGATCTACTTTGGAAAAGGTAGGTTCAAGAGATCTCTTTTGACGGAAATCATTGCATCTGGCCTCACTTTATTCCCTAGTGTTCTATAGATGGTTGACCAGCTGGATGGTGAAAAGAAGAGAATGGCTCTTCCACAGTCCCTGAACTTTAGGAAGATTGGCTTAGAATCTGAGGGAAGATAATCCATTTTTGATTTACCAGCCATATGCTGTCCTGATTTGTGCTTACAGATGCTATTTTTGAAACGGGTTCTGTTATTTTTATTTTTGACCCTCACTTTTGTTCCTTATCTATTATTAGCATGCTGTTTTCTCTTTACAGTAGAATCTTTCAAGTGCCTTCATTGCCAAAATGTTGCCCGAAATAATGTTTGCACACATGAGGAAAGCACCTGTGATTCAGGATTGTGGAAATTCTGCTACACTCAACTGATTAGCAAAAGTGAGGCCAAGAGACAACCGTATTCAGTTTTTATGGCAGAAAATCCAGATTTATGCATTAATTGGATTTGAAGTTTCTGGGTTTTAATTAGCTCTGTGAGTAGAAAAATAAAATCTCTCTCTCTCTCTCTCTCTCTCTCTCTCTCTCTCTCTCTCTCTCTCTTTCTCTCTCTCTCTCTCTTTCTCTCTCTCCTCCAATTTGTTTTCCAGACTCTGTGATGACACGTGTGAAACGTGGTTGTTCTCTGGTATGCCGTAACTTGAAAAGGGGAGACATCGACTATGAAGAACGGATGTTGTGCTGTGTGAGAGACCTCTGCAATAGTCATAACTTCTGGACAAATGAGTAAATGAAGGAAGGAAGAAAACCAGGGATGTCCAACCTTGGCAACTTTAAGACTTGCAGACATCAACACTCAGAATTTCCCAGCCACCATGAATTTGGTGAGTTGATGGGTCCATGGGTCTTAAAGCTGCTAAGGTTGGATACCCCTGATGTAGACTCTGGGGTGATTTATGGGAATAATGGACTTAACTGGTTATTTATGGGTTGCAAGCATGGAAAGGCTGAATGCATAATTCAATATTGTACTAATTTAATGATACCAGTTTGAAGCCCATGGCTGCAGTTTTTCATAATGCAGTAATCAATCATTAGAAACCAGATTTTTTTGGGTGGGTGGGGTGGGGAACGGTTGCAAGATTTGTCCAGATGCACCTGTCTACCTTTCTGCCTAAATCAAAAATTGAGAGCCTTTCTTCTCTTTGCTTAGAATTACCCTAAGGCAAGCAATGTAAGAGTCCCCTTCCCCTGTATATTTTTCAACTTTCAGTTAAAGGGTTGCAGCATTAAGTTTTTGGGATGAGATGGCACAGTTATTTTAGTAATAAAATGTAATGGTAAATAAAATGAATAGACGGATTGGATCGCCTTCTGCTCCAACACTGAAAGTTTTTAAGAAGAGATTGGACAGCCATTTGCCTGAAATGCTGTAGGGTTTCCTGCCTGGGCAGGGGGGTTGTCTAGAACAGGGAGCTCCAACCTTGGCAACTTTAAGACTTGTGGACTTCAACTCCCAGAATTCCTCAGCCAGCAAAGTCTTAAAGTTGCCAAGGTTGGAGACCTCTGGTCTAGAAAATCTCCAAGGCCCCTTGTTATTCTATTCTGTTCTATTCTGTTCTGTTCTGTTCTACTCTATACTCTACTGTACTCTACTCTATTCCTCCTTCTCCTCCTCTTCCTCCTCCCCCTCCTCCCCCCTCCCTCTCCCTCTCCTTCTCTGAAATATGAAAATCTTTCCCAGACTGATGCTAATTCATAATGATATAGCTCACTAATGTTCAGCTATTGTCATGGAATTCGAGGTCTCTTGTCACCTTCTTCTGTCAGGGTCGCTTTAGAGCGAACGGTGAGTATTCAGGAAGATTGAAAAGATTGGACCCTTCATAGGAAATATTCGTCCCTTTGTCCCACCCATACATGAAGGGCTTGGAAGAGCTCAATTCAAGCAATGTCATTTTGAGCAACTAGATGGTGATAGACTTCCATATGGTTCATTCTTAAATCTTTCCCTAGCCCTTTTTTTCCTTTATTGAATTCAATGTTTAAAAAGGATTTCCATTTATTGTTAATGTTTGAGCTTCATTATTAGTTGAAAAACTTAAATCCTCTTTCATTGATAATTTTTAAATCTACCATGTAAATTTGAGAAAATTCTTCATTTCCTGTAAAACTTAAGAACCTGCTGTCCTTGTTCTGTGGCTAATTAAAATTTAATTTTATACCCAGCATCATTTCTTTTTTTCTGTTCTATTTTGTTCCTACGTCTTATTCTGAAATGAAGTTTGTATTTTCTCTTCAGCATTTTTACTAATATATGATGTCTATTTTCCCATGCCTTGTGGGTTTCTTAATTCATTGTCACAATGCATTGTGAAAATGTATTTTGATTTGCGTGCACACTGTTGAAATTGTCATACTTCTCCCCCATCTACTCTGATGGTAATTCTCTTCTGCACCTTCTCTTTAATTTGGCAACCTTGTCAATCATAGCATTGCTGAAGGAATTCTGTAATTTTGAATAGATTTGGCCCACTATTTAAAGACTGAATTTCATGTTCTCTTCATACAGTATCAATATCCAATGCCTTTTGTTATTCTTGGAGATAGTTAATTAGAGGTTTCTGTTTCTAATCTCAGGTATGGCTCCAAGGCAAATCAAAGAACATCTGCATCAACACAGATTCTAAACCCTGTGGTCACCTTTAGAGGTTCTTCAAAAATCTCTGCCAAGAAAATGAAAGAACTGATGTTTAACTAACTGTGAGACATTAAATAGGTCAATTATCTGGATTGAAGTGCCCTCTTCCTTGTATATCTCAGAAGATGCTTTTTTGTGAATACAAAATTAGGAAAACTCTTAGGATGCCATCTTGGTCTCTCATATGGGAGGAGAGATGTAATACTGTAGCTAGAAAGCTGTGTGGACATTATTTGTTTTGAAATTCTCTTCTTACAGTGACCTCTTTCAAGCATTCATTGGTCTACTTTGAACTGGTAGATGCTAGACTCAGATTTTAGTTTGTTCAGCCCAGATTTTAGTAGTTATTTCACATTTATTATTTCAAATTCTGAGCAGTTGAGTCTAGTTGTAAATGCATCTCTGCTGTAATAATAGTAATAAAGGGGCTCCACACCTAGACTTAGACTGATGTCAGTATGCTTTATCTGAAACTCATAGGCTGATTCACACACAATACAGAAGGATGAAAAGGGGCTTTCGCAGGATTTAAGGATGGCAATCCTAGGAATCAGACAACACTTCTTCAAGTTACAAATGTATTCATGTCTGCCTCTTTATACATGCAAAAGTCTTCAAAGTCACAGCACGTTGTTGCTGTAATTAAAGTTCCCTTTTTCTCCAAAACATTGCACTTATCCCCTGGGACAGTGCATCCTCTTTCACCAGTGTGGGGTGTTTCCTCTGTGGAAAAATTAAAAAAACAAAAACAAATCAGTGTACACAGAATGAAGCAATTACTGATGAAGCTAATCTAAAACATCCTCTCCAAAGCCAAATACAAGACCTTCTCCTGCATGTTTTCCACCTGTTTTGATTCATTTTGTGATGAGAGAATTTGCTTTACAGATTCTCTCCCCTATTTTTTTTTTTTAGAGAATTGCCCATAGTTCATGTTTGCGATTGTTGTTGATGTAGTAATTATACCATGGCTCAGGAGTACAGTGTAGGAATCTGGACCTTGCCTTTTATTGTGCAATCATTTCCTATGCTTTGCAACCTCCCTGGCTTCCCAATGCTTAATCTCAAAGAAAAAAAACTCATCAGGAAACCTCTTCCAAGCAAAGAAACAATTGGAACTACTAAATCAAGGAACTACTAAATCAGGGGTCTTCAAACTTGACAGCTTTAAGACTTATGGATTTCAACTCCCAGAATTCCTCCTCCAGTCATGTTAACTCAGGAGTTAGTTCTGGGAGTTGAAGTCCACAAGTCTTAAACTTGCCAAGTTTGAAGACCCTTCTACTAAAGAGAAAGCCACACTTCCACCCACACTGTTAGGGAAAACAACCGTATATATACAACCCTCCCACAACTAGCACTGATATCATTAATTAATCAGTTAATTAAATGTCTACAAGCAAACAACAAAGCTCAGAGAGCACCAAGAACTCCACAGTTTAGCCCTGAGCTACATATTGTCTCTTCTATTGGAATTCATAATATATCATCAGTGACCAGCCATCTCATCTTAGTCTATTCTACCTACATGATGCCATGACCCACAATTGCAGTCTCCATAAAAGAAATGATGGAGGCCAAATTTACATAGGATTACATAGATCATATTAAATTTCTCCTTGGTAATAAAAAAAAAAAACAGCCTCTTTCTTTAAAAAAAAGCCCACAATGGGACAGAGGAATATATAGTTCAAAGTTATCATAAATCCAGGAGTACTGAAAGCAGTTCCAAACATGAATAGAATTTATTTATAGCTTTTTTTTTCTCTGAGCATCTTTGGGAAAGGTAATGGGCATGCTCAGTTATCTGTAAGTAACAAAGTACCTAATTTGAGATTGTTAAGCAATCACATTTATGCCTTAGCTGATATCAAAGAGATGTATGTTGACAAACTAAATCATGGGATATAAGCAGGCCAATGAACTTAACCAATAAGCAAGTGTGGTATAAATTAATGCTCATATGTATCTATTGTGGGGGGAACTTACTTGCATAATATTTAATAAATTTGCAGAATTGTCCAGGCTCAGCCACACAGACCCCTGTTCCTTTGATACAACCAATTGTAGAATGGTAGCGTTTGCACACCTGGCATTTGAGGGCATCAGCTACAGGATCAGGAAGAAAAACAATCCTTTATTAATCTAAAATGAAATATTAACTATTTCAGTGTCATATTCTCAGAGTTATATAACTAGTATAACCTCAGTGCAGTGCTATGAGTTTATGCATGGTAGTTGAATGCCAACCCTAATTCAGAAACCAACTTAATCCATTTACTTCACCAGATAAGTCTAGATTAATATTGTGCTACTAAAATCTGGTATGAGTGGGAGTTCCTGTTGTGTTTAGGGAAATGGCTTCCATAACTACTACCACTCTGAATGACTTGGCCAACTATATAGATCCATCTTTCCTGCCATAGCAGAATAAAGAAGGAACACAAACTTTGTCATTGTTTGCATAGTGAGTTATTGTTACTCACCAAGAATACAGCAAAGCAAAACTAAAAAGCTAGGAAGCAGAATTTTGGCCATCATCTAGGTTCCCTGCAGAAGAGAAGTAGACCAAAGAACAAATGTCTTTCAAATGGAAGTGAGACCATAGGAGAAGAGAAGAAGGTAGAGAAACATTCTTTGATACAAATCCATCCATGTAAGCAACAAGCAGCCCTGATAGTCCAACGAGATGGAATTCTAGCTGCAATTTGAAAGGAACCCCACCTTCCAAGGGAGGGGTTAAAATTCCAGGACAGTTAAGCAAGAAGGCTGAAGTTCCACACAGTTGTGAGATGCACTGTAACAAAGGCATGATTTTTAATTGACTGTAAGCTGTCAATGCATTTGGGTGTAAAATTCACCCACAAAATTCACCCCTTTCTCCATCAAATTATACTGTGATATTGATTGACTGGTACAAAATGCTACTGCCTGTGGATTAACCAACCAACATACCAGAAAATCCCCTGTTTTACAGAATTGCATTTGTTGCCAGTAGACTTTGAAGTCAAATTCCAGGTACTTGGAATTATTTATTAAGCTATATGTAAAAGGTTCTCCTTATCTTTGGGACTCATATTGTTGCTGTCTGCTTCTCTGGCCATGAAGCAATCTGGCTGTGAATTCTTGCACAAGAAATCAAGGGAAGGGGACTCCAGAAAGAGATCTCCTTGATCATGGTACATCCCTTTGGAACAGCCTGTCTGTGATGACCTGGGGTGTGGCACAAAGACAACCCAGCCAGATTATAAGTAGGGGTCCCTTTATTAGCTCCAACTTTGTCCCCAATGTCTTGGTTACCTTCCAGTTTTGGAGAAAAACTCTCCCAGAAACCTGCAACAGCCTTTGGCTGCAGATATTCCAGTCCAAAA